CACCAAATCCACCACCAAGTCCTGATAATCCAGCACCAAATCCATCACCAAATCCACCACCAAGTCCTGATAATCCAGCACCAAATCCATCACCAAATCCACCACCAAGTCCTGATAATCCAGCACCAAATCCATCACCAAATCCACCACCAAGTCCTGATAATCCAGCACCAAATCCATCACCAAATCCACCACCAAGTCCTGATAATCCAGCACCAAATCCATCACCAAATCCACCACCAAGTCCTGATAATCCATCACCAAAACCCGATAATCCATCACCAAATCCATCACCAAATCCTGGTAAGTCTTTTTTTGTTGAAGGAAAGACACACACATATAAATAGAATTTGTATATCTAGATAGATAGATAGATTTAGTTTTTTAAAAATATAAATATGATCATATAATTAATATAATTAATTTATATGAAATTAATATAATTAATTTATATGAAATTAATTAGACTCTACTAGTAAAACTACTAAATCATATCCACCTGGGCAAGAACCATGTACAAAAGCTGATGATCCAAGATGTGAACGTAAAACAACAGAGTGAGTTATTTTTGTTTTTAAAAGAAAAATTCATTATTTTCCAACAAATTAATTAAATTTATTGCAAAAAAAAAAAAATAGTCCAACAGTGGTCAGCACAACAGAAGAGAATGAAGTAATCACAGATCCACCAATACCTACAAAAACCACAACATCCCAAACCCAATTAGGCTCAAGCCAAAAAAAATCAACCATAACACAATTCAAAACATACACCACCACTTCAACATTATATTTCCCAGGATACACCACTTATACATCTTCAACAGGGGACAATGGACAATTAACAACATATGCAACTTACATTCCACCAAGTACTGTTGTGGTGGTCAAGAAAGTTACCTCAGCAACTGTAGAGGAAATTCAAGAAAGTAATTCTGTTTCAGCTGGACATCTTGATCTGGAACTCTCAATTTATAATTTATACAGCATTGCTACATCATTATTTGTTATTTCTGTGACAATGCTTTATTTAATTATTGCTTAATTAAATAGTAGTATTAATTTCTGTAAAAAAAATAATTCATAGAATTAATGACTTGTAGCAATATTATTTATTTGATAGTACATCCACTTCCGTTTGTATATCTAAAAATCACACATGATATTTTTTAATATTTAATTTAATTATTAAAATACAATAATATTAGATTTGGTGTCTGTCTTCGTGACGATTCACTATAATTTTCTTATTGAAGTGTGGTTATAACTATTAAATGTTATTCTCAGGAACTAACAGCCACATGGTCTAATTTGACTAGGTATTTGTTTATTTAAATCATTTATTATTACTGTATCTGTTTACTATGTAATTAATCATTCAAAAATAACCAATAAAAAAATATCTTTCTGTCAAGATTGAAGATGATGATATTATTAGCAGCAATTATAAATTGCATCAAAATGAATAAAGAAATAGGTAATACTCATCAATGGTTTTGGATCCGAGTATTTTTTCTTCGATGCAATTCCTCTGGTAATTTTTTCATATATATTTTAGTTGAATTGAACATGAGAATACCTTTGTCCTTATTCCAGTATTCATGATGATTATGAAATACATTTGATACTATTGTTCTAAATTTGTGAAAATTAACAAAATTGACAGATTACAAAGTAATGATAATACTAGAACCATGCAGAAATGAAACTGGTTTGGAAAAGCCACACAGTATCTTCACAAGCAGACTCGGGAAATAAACCCTTTAAGTTTTTGTTGAATTTTGATCCAAACCTCTTTTTCATGTAGGACAATAGTCCATTGCCTTGACATCCAAGTGGTAGTGGGAACATTTTAGTAGTTGAATTTTTGCTTGGTTTCCTTTTTTTGTGTTTTGCGATGGTGATTCTCAATATATTAATAATATACAAGTTTTAAAGTTTCTTAAAAATCAAATCTAACACGTTGGGTTTGAACATTAGATTTAGCAGAACTAATCCTTTTTTTTGTCAACCTTTTGTAGTGACATTTTTTGGGACAAAACCATGATCATAAGAAGATAGGCATACACATATAGGTCATACGCGAAATTGTGTATATTTTTTGGGTTAGAAATATAATCATGCTCGTTTAAAGCAACATCCATAAAAACTAAAAATTAGTAGAGTGCGTATGTGGTGCCCAAATCAAGCCGGATAGAGATTATGACGAAAGATATTTAGATAAACGTGTCAAATCAAGTGGTTGTAAAAGTAAACGAACAAAAATCTCTGCCAACTTATTTTCAAGGAATTTGTTAAAAATGATGCTTGTTTACGAAAAGATCAAAACAACAAAGCATGTTTTCGTTCAATAAAATTTTTTTGTAGATAGAAAAACCTTGGCCGGCCAAGCCGAACAACTCTTAGCCGGAGCAATGACTTATGTTTGATGAGCATACTGGGCATACACCTAATGGTGAACTTTACAACAAGATGAGACTTCAATTTAGAAAATTGACTCAAGTTTGGAAATAAATATTCAAGAGAACATAGTAAACAAAAGTGACGTGTATAATGCAGTTGCAAATTAACTTAAGTTAAGCATGTTAATGTTAGATATACTTTTTAAATATCAAGAGGAGAATGTATTTTATTTGATTGCATTTAAATGATGATGAATGACGTTTCATTATTGTCATAGTTGGGAAGTAAGTTTGGTGTTGGGATTTTAATGAAATGAAAAGAAAACCTTTTCCCAGTTCTGTGTTGTTTTTACAACAGTAATCTTCCTGGTTAGAACAGCCGCACCTCTCTACCCCCTCTGGTTATCTTAACCACCCATGATTATCATGGTTATTGTAACTGGAGGGGTGATTATGAATAAAATTGCCCTATAAATTTAATAACTATTATTGAACAAAAAAAATTTTAAGAAATTTGGCATAAAATTAGTTACGAGATTTCCAACTCCTCTTTTTTAAATAATGTGAACATTTATCCGACTGAGATCTCAACTCCAAACTAGTCAGATTATTCTCGTTGATATGGTTTAAACTAATATCTATACTCAACAAACTTAAGAAAAATGTATATATGTGCAAGAGATATTTACTGAGGTGTCCCTCAAAGTGACTTATATAGTAAATTTAAAAGGGGGTCCGAACCAATAATTAAAGGTTGGCCAAACCATTAATCGTTCACAATAGATTTGCCTATTCAACCATGCAACAATTCGTAAATAAGAGATGATAAAATGATAAAATGTATTTATTAATCAATTAATTATTACAAAGTTAGGTGTTCGAAATTCCTCTTTTTAACTCCTTGACACATTTTTGTACCTTTCGTTGTAATTGGAAGTTTCATTGAACCGTTTTAGAAGTCGCAGGGCTTTGTACGCATTGGAAGCTTCCAATCACTATCGGAATCGGACTTTAAAATCCTTCAACCAATAAAATTCAAGAATAAAAATTAAACTTAAAACTTTGTCAGGGAAAAAATCCTACATGAAGGAAGAAAGAAGATTAATATATTAATTGGTTTATTTATATCTCGTCTGCAGGGGAGCTACATAACACAAGTTAAAAAACTTGTGTTAATTTTTTGAGTAAAATCGGAAGTCAAGAAGTTGGAAGAAGATAGAATGATATAAAGTTGTAATAGATTTGGGTAAAGATAACATTTTTCAATTCTTAAAGTGCAGCAGACAACTTCATCCTTGTCACACGATTAATTTTTGATTGGACAATATTAATAAAGAAATTTCGAATAACAATATTTTTGTTTGAGGAGATCCCTAGGGGCTTATTGTGAACCTTATTTGGGGATCTTCTTAAAATAGAGGCCATTATTATTTTTCTATATATGATAATTTAATTTTACATCATTTCCTAAATAAAAATTTTTTCCCTGTTTCATATTTTTGAATTGATTTAAGGCAATTTTTTCATAAATAGACCAGCCACAAAAAAAAATTTTTTTTTTTGAACACATATATACATATTTTATAGAAGTTTTTGTTTTATTATTATTATTAATTTATTTATTACAATCAAATAACGAAAAATGAACAAAACAAACCCAAAGATATTGACGGCATTTATAATACTCTTGATGAGTATTATTTTCATCCTTCAATTTACTAGCCCAATTCAATCAATCAATGTTGAAAATTTAAAAAAAAGACAAGATCCACCACCAGAAAAACCACCACCGGATAAACGTAATTATCATTTGTTTATTATGTTTTATGACCATAATTATCATTTTGTTATTTTCTTCATTTTTATTCCTTGAATCAAAAAATGATATTTTGTTTATTATCCTTTGGTGGCGATGTTATAAAATCAAGCAATTATCATTTTTATTTCTTGAACAAGAGTGATGTTTTATTGATTTGTTTTATAGCACCATCACCACCAAAAAGTGATCATAATTATTATTTGCTTATTTATTTCTTGAACAAAAAATGCTTATTTGCTTATTTTTTATTTCTTGAATCAAAAATGATGCTTGATTTATTTTATTTTATGGCACTACCAAAACCAACAATGGATAATCTTGATTATCATTTGTTTGTTTTCTTTCTTTAGTTGAAAAATGATGTTTAATTTATTTGTTTATTTTATAACAGCACCAAAACCAGATCAACCAAAACCAGATCAACCAAAACCAGATCAACCAAAACCAGATCAACCAAAACCTGATCCACCAAAGCCTGATCCACCAAAGCCTGATCCACCAAAGCCTGATCCACCAAAGCCTGATCCACCAAAGCCTGATCCACCAAAGCCTGATCCACCAAAGCCTGATCCACCAAAGCCTGATCCACCAAAGCCTGATCCACCAAAGCCTGATCCACCAAAGCCTGATCCACCAAAGCCTGATCCACCAAAGCCTGATCCACCAAAGCCTGATCCACCAAAGCCTGATCCACCAAAGCC